CTGGAAGCTGCATCGCCAGAGGAACACTCAGCAGAGCAAAATGGCAACCAGTTGAATGGGAGAGAGATTTGCAAACCATATTTCTGATAACATATAAATGACTCGTACAACTCAACAGCAACAAAACAAACGGTCCTATTAAAACACGAGCAGAAGACCTGAACACTTTCCAAGGAAGACATACAGATGGCCCCGTTATGTGAAAAGGTGCTCGACCTCACTAGCTATCAGGGAAATGCAAATCGACACCACAAAGAGCCGCCACCTCACCCGTCAGAATGGCTGTTATCAACAAGACATGACATCTGTGAGGTTGAGGATGTGGGAGAAAGGGGACCCTTGTGTACTGCTGATGAGACTGCCAGTGGGTGCAGCCACTATGGAAAACAGCATGGAGATGCCTCAAAACACTAAAGAATCGGAACCGCTAATCCTAAAATTCACACGGAACCCCCAAAGACCCTGACCAGACAAAGACATTCTGAGGAAGAGCGAAGGGGAAGCATCGCGCCACAAGATCAAACTGTCCTCCGAAGCCACAGTGGGAACAGCACAGTGGCCGGAGGACAGACACCTCGGTGACCAGAACAGCCCAGAGACAAGCCCTCGCCATGTGGTCCATTCCTCCTTGATGGGAGGCGAGGGACAGCGGATGAGGACAGGCTCTGACGCGGGGCTGGGGCCTGGACAGATGGCGAAGGCCAGGCCGGCCCCGCGCCGCCCGCGCACCACCCACCTCCTCGAAGACGCTCTTGCGGAAGTCCAGCTCCTCCTGCAGGCTCTGGCAGCGGTTCTCCAGGTCCACGCGCATCAGCGTCTCCTTCTCCAGCTGCTGTTTGGCCACTGCGTGACTGTCCTCTGCCTGGGGGATGCGGGACAGTGGGCAGAGGTGACTATCAGCTTCACCACGTGGCTCCTTGCGCCCGGGGAATCCCCTTAAATACACAGACTCCAACCTGGGCTGTCGACTGGGTTAGGGGTCTGCAGGCCACCGGCATCCAGGCATCCCCCGGCCACCCCAGCTCACAGCACCCATGCCCGCCCGCCAGCTCGAGGCACCCCATCTCCAGAGTGGGGGCTGCCCGGGGCCTACCCTGGCCAGCTGGGCCCGAAGCTCGGCCACGTCATTCTCGAGAACGTGCTTGTCGCTGAGGGCGGCGGCCAGCTCCGCCTCACTCCGGTGGAACAGGGACTCCAGGTCCTTCACGCGCCCCTGAGCCACTGTGAGCTCGCTCTCCCTCTTCTTGGAGCTGAAAGAGCCAATTCAGCCGGGGGGCGTGAGCGCCTGGGAGGGGTGAGCGGTCGGGAGCACCCCTGGTGTGACGGCCACAAATGTCCCCAGACATTGCTCGAGTGTCTCGCAGGCCGGGATAGGAGTCAGGCGACCAGAGAAGCACCAGCAGTTCCGCAAACGCTCAAGGCTGGGACTGGAAAGGGCACCCTAGGGCCAGCGAGCTCAGGAAGCCTCCTTTCCAGAGCGGAGGCTTTAATCAAAGAAGTCACCAGCCCAGACGTTTGGGTCCCTCCGTCCGGTACCACTGTATTCAACACTCTTCTCGTCATCGTCCTGTTTTAAATCTCTGCCAAACCCGCCATGCCCAGAATCAGGAAAGTCTCGCTTACAGGCCGAGGGAAATAACTGTTCTGATGACGGGCACAACTGTCACCCAAAGAAGATGGCACAAAACAATGGGACCGGCCTAACTGAGCCACAGCAGCCACTGATGACACACACGCAGACGCTGAAACATGCTAGTAGCCGGGATATCGAGTCACACGAGACATCGATGCCTCAGGGAGACACCTGCAAGAGGCTCCCTACATCAAGAGCGTCAATGCCGCCTAACTGCGTCCGCCGTTAGTTTAAAGTTAAAAAGTAAAAAAGAAACGTAGATCGGCCCGGAGACTCTCCGTATGGAGGCTCACGGAGACTTTCCTCTTTAAACGACCTTGCGTTTTCCGCTTTCGACACTGAGCATCTATGACTGGTAAGCAGAAAAAGCATGACATGCGCCCAGAGCAGGTGCAGCGGCAGAGCGACGCTGAACTTGACGCGGTAACAATGTATCAACATCCACTGGGCAGTTGTAACAAAGTAGCTCGCTCGGGACGGCGATTTTGACAATGGGGAAATCGGAGGGGTATTTCTGAACCGAAACTGAACTCTCCACTCGTTTACCTGTAAGCCTAAATCTGCTCAGAACAAAATCCTCTATCAATTGTTTAAAGTCTATTAATCAAAAAGTAAATATTTCAAAAAAAAAAAAAAAAGGAGAAAATGCTGCATATGTGAACGTGGTTCTGTAGGCTGCTGGGACTAAAAGAGAGACTCAGGAACCAGGGTCCGGGCCTTGGTCCTGGTCCCTGAGCCCGTGACTCAGTTCCCCCCTGTAGGTGCAGATGACAGCCAGGCCCTGGGAGGGTCGCTGTGAAGATGAATGGGGATCGCGTCTGAACTGGCACGATACCCTCTTTGCTACCTTAAGTACCTGATCCACCTCGCTGTCCAACTTCTCAGAGCTTTTACTCAGAAGCAGGCAAGAGAACGTGCTTTGTGAACAAGAGAACCCCCCAGTCCAAAGGTCGCCTGGCCCTGCTGAGGGTGGGGGATGGAAGACAGAAGCTGGCCCCAAAGTTTCCCAGGATGGGGACCCCGAGAGGAGGCACAGAGGACAAGGCAGTGTGAGACAGCAGGTGGGGGGCCCTGGGGTCAGTGGCTCCCAAACCCAGAACAGAGCAGCGGGGTGGCAGGTCCCTGGGGAGGCTGGGCTCTGGCCTGAAAGGGGGGGGTCTGACTCCCCAAAATTCTGTCCCAGGAGAGCCACTCAGACTAAAAGCCCTCCTTGGGCCAAATCATGCTTGGGGGAGGGGGAAACGAAGGTGGTCGGGGGGCAGCTATGGGGCTGGGCCACAGAGGCTGACACCCCGCCCAGCAGCCAGCACGCCCCGGCCTCTAAGGACCCACATGTGTGCTCCCGAAAGGGCTGCCTGAGTGGGGTTTCCAATCGGAACTGGACCTGTGGTCCTCAGAGTGGCCCCTGCCACCGGGAAGTGGGGGTGATAAGCCCCACCCCACACACCCACCTCTTGTTGGCCTCTTCCACCTCGGCCCTCAGCTTCCCGATTTCGATCTGCAGCCGGGCATGCTCCCGCGCCGTCTCGTCCAGCACCCTGCGGGCGTCCGCCAGCTCCGACTCATACAGCGTCTTGATGCCGCTAACCTGGAGGGACGGTGGGCCAGGTGAAGGAAAGGACCCCCGACAGTGTGCATCCCGGGCTGGCTGCCGAGGGACACGGCGCCTGCGAACCCCGGAGGCCCCCCAGCCAGCTCGGCCTGCCGACCGTGGGTGACCCCGCCTGCCCATGTCACTGTCCCCCACCTGGACACATAATGCAAGCTTTCCGTCGGCCTTCTTTCCCCCACCTTCCCCCACAGCAAGTGCCCAGGGCCACGCACATGTCTTTACAAACACCTGGAACCAACTCGCGACAGCAAGACCCCACCTCACCGCCCGCCAGGACAGCCAGAGTCAGAGATGGACAGTAACACGTGGCAGCAGGACGCAGAGACGCGGGAGCCTCCAGCACAGCCGCTGGGAACAGAAAAGGGAGCAGCCACCAGGGGAGACAGCCTGGCAGTTCCCCAGATGGTTACAGAGTGACCACAAAACCCAGCGATTCCACTGCCGGCGTCGCCCCAAGAGAAACAACACACGTCTGCACAAAGCCTGCACACGCGTGTCCCCAGCCGCCAGAAAGCGGAAACGTCCCAAGTGTCCTTCAATTGAAGGATAAACACACGTGGCCATCCACAAAGGGGAGTGTCACTCGGCCATGAAAAGGGGGGAGGTGCTGACACTCACCACAACGTGGACGGACCCTGAACACACACACACAACCACACGGTGTGTGATTCCATTTACAAGAAACGTCCAGAACAGGCGCATCCTCAGAGACAGGAAGTGGGTTCATGGTTGTCAGGAGCTGGGCAGGGGCATGGGGGTGACTGCTGATGGGGACGGGGCTTCTTTTTGGGGTGATGGAAGGTTCTAGAATTGGAAATGGTGGATGCATGACTGTGGACGTGCTAAAAACCAGTAACTGCAGAGTTCAGTTGGGTGAACTTGAGGCAGGAGTTACATCTCCATGACGCTGTGAAGACTCATCTGGCACTGACCGAAAAGGCTCGCACGATGACAAGCAGACGCATTCTTGGGGCAGCTGGCCCGGAGAGCCACACGTGTGCCACAAAGCTATAGGACGCCAGCATGTCTGTGCAGGGTCAGACTGCCGCACAGGAGAGGTCCCTGAGCAGAGGGGCTCAGGAGGGCTGCCATGGACTCGTCACGCAGCAGGGTGGCCCACCATCCTGTTTTGCCCAGGACCAAGGGGTTTCCGGACGTGGAACATTCCAGAGTGGAAACCAGAATATCCTGGGCAAATCCTGACGAAGTGGGACTTAACGGCCAGACTGACACCTGTACCCCACACCAGCCCAGACCTGGGTGTCCAGCAGCTCCCAGACCTGTCACCCCACAGGCAGGGTGAGATATGGGCTCCTGGCCCCAATGCACAGGTGGGGAAACTGAGGCACGGAACAACAAACTGCCCTCTCCTGACCTGAGACAACGCAGCACAGAGCAGGTCTGCAGGGGGTGTTCCGATGACACGTAGTGGGGGAGCAGGGACGAGCTGCCCCCCCACATACACAGCAAAGGCCCACCCTCCCTCGCTCCAAGGCGGTCACCTCAGGCCACCGCCTCCACTTCCGTCCTCTGGAATGAACTCTGAACTCACAAAGCCGCTGGCCACACTCTCCACAGCAATCCCGCACTTCGCCTTCCAGAACACTCCTGAGCCCCAGGAGGGTCTGGTGCCTGAAGGAGGAGTCGCAGACGAGGGCCCTTCCTCTCGCGCCCTGCCTCCCTGGATGGAACGGTCTTGGGCCCCAACGCCAGGGGACAACGTGGCGAGGTCAGAACCGAGCCAGGTCGCAGCTCAGGGCAAAAGGGGAAACCAGAACTTCTGACACTGGATTTAAGTTTTAGATGTTTGGTCACTGTGGATTTTTTATACTGACTTTAATTTCTCAAAAATATTTCGTTAAAATATTACTCATCCCATTGTGGCAGCCTGACCGTAAGAAAACACCAGGCGACCCCAGCAGAGGCATCCATGCCTAGGGCATGAAACACGAGGATGTGTCGGACACTGTCACAGCCGGCAGGGGCCCAAGGAGATGTGCCAGCTGTCACGAGGGGTCCTGGAACCTCAGGAAAGCTAAGGAAATCTGAACGAAGTGTGGGTGTGAGCCAAGGATGACAGGTCGACGCTGAGAAACACTGACGTACGATGTAAACCGGGCGGGGGCTGGGTCGGGTGCCCAGGGCCTTTGACTACCGCTGATGTTTTCCTGCAAATCTAAAACCGGCCTAAAAAGAAGGCGGAATAATTAAACACACGTCGTCCCATTCACGTGTGTCCGCAGCTGCTTACGGCCGAGGGCGCTGCAGACCCGCCTGGGCGGCTTAAAGCACGTGCATCCCCCCAGGTGTTTCCGGTGTGTGTGCGCGTGTGGGGCAATAAGGTCGTCATCTCCTGCCAGGTCTGCAGACTTGGGCCCCTGCTTGTCTTTGTCCAGCCTGGAAGCCCAGGATGGCTTCGACATTTTTAAATGGCCGAGGGAAAGAAAGATGTTCTGTGACATAAGCGATTACGCGAATCCCCGCTCCAGTGAGCGTAAGCGAAGCTTCGCCGGCACGCAGGCTGGCGCACTCCTCCGCGTGCCGGCTGTGGCAGCTCTGCCACTATGACAGCCGCGCTGAGTCGTCATGACCGAGACCACCCGGCCCTCCCCAGAAAACATCTGCCGACCGGGACGTGTTAGAAACCTGTCGTCTAGAGGACAGACGGCCGTTTCTTTCGGACATCGACAGTTGCTGCCCGCAGGCCCGCGCCTCCCTGCACCTGTGGCCGTCACTGCAGAAGCCTGGGGCGCCCCCGTGGGGGAGGACAGTGCGCGCCCTTTGTCTTTCACAGCTTGCACAAGTGCCAAGTGTGCGAATCTCAACAAATGTGTGAGCACAAAGTGGCCTGGGGTTGGCGGAGGGTACAGATAACCTGAGGTGACCTTTTCCTGTCGCCTGCATCCCTCCGGGGAGAAAAATCACCGATGGAACCGTGACTCCACAGGTAAAACCCAAACACAGGTTCTGGTGGGCAGACATAGTCCAGCCCTTCCTCTCTGGGTCCACCTGGGGAGCCCCCCTCCCACCCCAACAGCAATAGGACACCTGGGAGGGAAGAGAAAAGAAACCGAAGCCTGCAGGAACTTAACACCCACGGGGGTGCTCCCTGGAGAAGCCCTGTCCCAGCGCCCCGCCCCCCACCTTCCAGAACCCCCGCAGGAATGTGTGTAGTGCCAGCTTGCCCAGGACGTGTCTGCAGTCCAACGGGAAAGACCTGGAATGTCCGGGGCTGGGTCCGTGCGAGGGTGGGACGGGGGAGTGAGATGGGCACGGGGGGCCGGGGGGGGCAGTTTACTCAGGCACCTGAGTTGCTGGGGTTTTCACGAGCGTGTGATGTGCTTCTAACACTTTAAACGGCGTCTACAGAGCATTCCTTAGGTGGCTTCTCAGCCCCAACGCTAATGGCATCTGGGGCCATCCTGGCACTGTGAGGTGCTGAGCAGCATCCCTGCCCCCCCCCCACTTAACACCAGGAGCACCCCAGTCACGACAACCAGAAGTGTCTCCAGACACCATCTAGTGCCCTCCGGAGGGCAGGATCACCCCGGTGAGAAGATGCTGCACAGGTCACGTGACCACACCTGGGCGCAGCACGGCCACCTCTCTCCCAGTGCATCCCACCCACTCACCACCCAGTTCTGGCCAGCGGGGCCAGGACTGCCTCAGCCTGTGGCCTTACTGGCAGAAGCCTGGGCCCCAGTGTAGCCCGAGGCCATTTCCAGGTCACACCCACAATACCACCCCCACTGCTCCCGGCCCCTCCCCCCAGCAGGTAGCCGGCTCCCTCTCTGAGCAGTTAAGAGGGCATCTACCCCCTCCCCAGCAGGCGGCAGGGAGCACCAGCAGAACACGCAGGGAGCACTAGCAGAACACATGGGTTGGAACACCCTAGCTCCAGCTGAGAACACATCTGTCTGCCTGGAGCCCCCATCCCCGCAAAGGCCCTTGAGCTCACAGTGGGGCAGGCTGACCCCCACACACACAGCCTTCCCTCCTCCCGAGTGTCAGCTCGCCTTCCAACAAGCTCTAGCAGCGGAGAAATAAGCCAGGTCCAGAATAGACAGGGCGAGTGCACACCCCTCCATGTGACCACCCCGTCACCCCAGCTGCAGGTGGGACAACTGAGGTCGCAGGAAAGACAGGACACCAGCTCAAACATGGCACGCTAACCAGCCCACTGGGCAGGAACTGGGCCGGCACCCTGGGGACACACACTGCTGAGGCAGGTGGCCACGCTCTGCATGGGACAATCCTAGCCCCATATACAGATGACAAAGCTGAGGTTCCAACAGGCCGAGTGACCTGCCCAAGGTCACACAGATTAAGGGCAGAGTCTGGACCCCACGTCTGAATCCGATCCAGAGCAACCTAGAACAGCACCCCCAAACACGGGACCCGCTTCCTCCCCCAACGCCCAAGCCGCACTCTCCGAGCCTCCCCGTCCCCCGTGGCTGTTTCACGGGGACAACAGGCCCCAAATGAGCGCTCCCTCTGGGCACCGCCAGCAGTCCACTGCCTTTGTTCTGCACAAAGGACATTAAATCACGGCGGCTCCGCGCACAAGCCGGAAAGGTGGGTATTAACACTTCCACTTCGCTGAAGAGGCAATGAGACGCAGTGGTTGAGTGACTTACCCAAGGTCACACAGAGGGCAGAGGGCACGTGGCCTCTAGAAGTCCGCCATTTGGTCCATTCTCCCGATGCGGAAGGCGAGGCTCAGAGCAGCTGTGCAGGCCCACGACCTCCCTCCAGAAACCCCGGGAACCACGTGCTGGGCACTACCCCCACCTTCTTCAGAGGTCCTGCCCTTGAGTTGCACGAGGCCAGTGGCAGGGAGGGGAGAGGGCAGGGGTTTGGGCTGGCAACCAGTCCCCAGCCCGGGAGACCCCGCCTGGGCCGCCCAGGGCAACATGGGGACCTCACACCCCCCTTAGAGGGCGAGGCTGACCCAGCCCCTTCGCCCTCCAGTCTGCAGTGGAGCCCGGGCCCCACTAGGAGCCCATAACTTCCCTCTGGTTCCCTAAGACCTCGCCTCTCCTCCCCTCGCACCCCGAGTGTGGGGCAGGGGCAGGGCCTATCAGGCTCCTGCCCAACAGTCAGCGCGATCCAATGGCTTCGTAAATTACCCGCGACGACTCCCGAAGCGGCAGACCCCCTCCCCTCGAACCCCACTCTACCCTCAGGCCGGGGAAGGACCTGGACCCTACTGCCCAACCCCCAACACGGTCCTGGAATTCCCCAGGACTCATCGCCGGACCCCTGCGAAGTTCCACGGGGAACTGAGACCACGTGATTCGCCCAGAGACCACCCCCCGTGAAACCCTCGGTTCCTCCTAAGAGCCCCTCACAGGACTGAGTCTCCCAGTCTCTTCGAAGACCAGGGAACCGCCCTCGATTTTCTCCCGGGACACCCGAACACCCAAACGCACCCCCGTAAGCTCCCCATGACTCCTTTAGAGGCGGGGCCTCGCCTAGCCCACACCCCCGTCATCAGGGCTCCCCAAATTTCCTCGAAATCCTTGATAGGCGGGGCGTACCCCTCTCACTCTGGAACACCCTCCCGGGCCCTGGGGACCTCTCAGAGGACTAGTCTGTAGCAGACTGCACTCCTCAGGGGATACGCGAACCCCTCCCCGGACCCCTCGGTGGGCGGGGCTTTCTCCACCATGCACCCCTCGCTCAGACCCCCGGCCCCCCGGGACCGTCGGTGGGCGGGGCCTTCCCCACCGTGCACCCCTCGCTCCGG